ACGCAGGTGGGACACCTACTACGAAGCCACCTGACCACCAACTGGAGGCGAAACCGCGAGGCAGAACGTAAGCAGCCCCGACACGGCCCCTCCGAGCCCAAGAAAAGGCGGAGCCGCGGGAAGATCTTGGGCACGACCACCGAAATCCAGGCGGCACAAGGAGATGGAACATCTGCCGAACAGAAAACTCCCCAAAGCAAGCAAGCAAGCAAGCCCGCCAGGAGTTCAGAAACGACGGGTCAGATGCGAGACATCGCAAGACCCCGAAAAGCCAACCGGCAGGGTAAGCCAGGAAAACGAAGAAGGCGGAAGTTACCACCAGAAACAGTACCCGAAACCAAGGGGTATGAGCAACTGCAACAGACCGAAACAAAGAAGCACACCACAGGACACAGGCTGAAAGAATGCCCAAGAAGCCAAGGAACGCATACAGAACACCCCTGCGGCTGAGGAGGAAACAAGGGAACGCACAAGGAAATGAATCGGTGGAAACCGACCCCCACCCTCCCACACACAGCAGTAAGTGCAGGCAAAAACCTACCAAAGGAGATGCCAGGAAAACGACTGGGGGGAGGCAGGATGAAAGAGCTGAAGCACAAAAAAAAAACAGGAAACAACCAGGTGTGGACAATCAGGCAAGGACAGAAAAACCCCACACACAGGAGAGGGCCAAGCCAGGGACCCGAAGACCACGAAAAACAACAAGCAAACCCCCACACGCAAACCCTAGGCACAAAACAGCAGCAAAGTGCCACACCACAATCGGACACAGGAACAAGGACACGCCACCGCAAAACACAGTACCAATGCACACGTGCAGCAGCAACAAGCACCACCGCAACATGCAACATGTAAATAGCAACTCGCTTCTGCAAAGGCAGAGAAAGGAGCAGGCAGACCCCAGACAGGGCCAACGGAGACACGACAATACCCAGCAGGCCCAGGAACCTGCACCCCCAGGCGACCGACGGCGAGAACCCCGCTCGATACCTGCTGGATGGGGCACCGGGAGCTCACGTACACCCCAAGCCCGTCCCGAGGCCAGGCTAGACCGGCCAGAGGGTGGCCCACCAGGCAGCTGCTTGAAGCGGCCTGCAGGCCCACATACCCCCCACAACCAGGGTGGGCCGGAACTTTTAATCGAAAACAGGCTAGTGTGCCCCGGAAGTCCACGGACGAACCGGCAATATGGCGTATGCTTGCAAGTAGGTCGGGTAACAACCGCAGACCTCTGATGATGGTACAGTGTTCCCCGATTGTGCCTATAGCACCACTGCACTCCACTGGTACTATCCCGCAAGTTCATTCAGATAGGCGGGACCAAAGAGCCGGAGCTCAACCCTGCAAGCACAACCAGGAGAGCCCTATCTGGTGAGAACATAATTAGCACCACAACCAACACACCTCATAACATGAAAAAAGGTGGGTCCCCTGAATGACTCTAGCATGGGTTGGACATGCACATGAGTGGGACGGGAAGGGTTGAAAAAAAAAAGGGACAGTCACTGGTGTGCGAACGGTCACAGTCATACAGAAATATACCTAAAGAAAAACAGGTATATAAACATCTCCGCATCCAGCGCCCGGCCAAAAGACGCCAGACCGCAGAAACTCACCTGTCGAACGGAGGTACGAACGTGACAACCCAACAGTGCCCAGAAGATCCTGGGAGCACCGCCAGGTGAAGAAGCCAGAGCCGGACCCGCAGGAGAGCAGGGTAGAGGCGAAGGAGGCGGCCCACACCCATGACACAGGGAAAACCTCTGCGTCCGCCCCACAGCTGGAAACCAGGACACCCCCGGAGCGAAGGGGCACATACCGCAGCAAGGAAGAAGAGCGAGAGGCGAAGCACATGAGAAAAAAGGGCGCAAAATACCAGCACTGAAACACACCGCCCAGACCAAAACAAACCACGGCGCATGCGCATGACACGCTGGCCGAACCGCACAACCCTCTCTGCGGGAAGGCGCCAACCACGACTACTGCACTAGAAAAGTAGCCAAAAGAGGAAGCATTAACAACAAAACCGGCCAACGAAGCGAAAACAGAGCCCAAAAGGGTACCCAACCGAGCCATAAGTAGCCCAACAGGTCGACAAGTAGCCCAACCGGGCCAAAAGTAGCCCAACCGGGTGACAAGTAGCCCAACCGGGCCACAAGTAGCCCAACCGGGCCACAAGTAGCCCAACCGGGCCACAAGTAGCCCAACCGGGCTACAAGTAGCCCAACCGGGCTACAAGTAGCCCAACCGGGCTACAAGTAGCCCAACCGGGCTACAAGTAGCCCAAAACGGCGACCTGGACGAGGAGCCGACAGATGTTCCAATAATGTGGGAAGTAGCGAAAAACTTTCCTGAACCCTCGAGAACACAGAAGCCAACACTAGTCCCGATGGCACACAAAGGCGTAGGCGCACCCGAGACCAGAAGTCACGTAGAACCCCAAGAACAGGGAAACATGACGAAGACACCGTCCCAAAAAGGGGGGGAGGAAGCATCCACCCACAGGACGGAACCAACCGACTCAAAGGCCAAGGAACCGAGCCTGGGGAGAGGCAGATGCCCAACAACACGTACGGCGAGTGGGAAGGAAAGACCCCCCCACGGGGTCCTACGGGGCCAAGGGCCCCCAAGTCAGCCCCTCCCCAGCCCCGGGAACCTACACGACAGGCCCCGGGGCCGAGCCGCCCCCCCAAAGCCCCGGCCGTACCAGAAAACCGGGGCAGCCGTGAAAACACTATGGACGGGAGCCCACTGGCAGACTCTTACAACACGGCTGGAGGAACAGACTCAAATGCCTCTGTCATTACCCCGGAAGGGGAGGTCCCGAGACTGCCCGAGTCTCAACACCATCAAACCCCACCCCGATCCTACAGATGGTAAGGAACCGGATGCAGGTAGGAAGGGGGGATCCAGGGGAAAGACAAGGGGGACATGGAAGGAACCGAAACAACCAACACCCCCAAGTCCCAACACTAACCAAAACGGGGCAGCCCCAGGGCACCCAGGGAGCAAACAACGAGAGCGTTGCCCCCACCAAGGCTCAAGTGCAATGCCCCTGTTGTCCGCACCCGCTTAGTCAGCACAATTAGGTAACCGAGCCACAACGAGCAACAAAACTCGCAGGACTCCGGGTCGAAGGTGTCACCGACCCCACAGGCAGCAGACGGAGGCAAAACCGAGAGTCACCCAGAGACAAGGGGTGAGCAACCCTCAAACTCGCTGGAAGCGAGGGGGATACTCTGGGGTCACATCCATTGAACCCACGCGCCCCCAGGGGTTTTCCAGGGTCCCGAGCATTTACTATAAGAGGATTCGCGCTCAGGTAATCCCAGGCAGGGTACTGCTAACCGGCGCCCAAAGCTACCAAACAACTTTCTAACAGTTGAACCCCTGGGACGTGTACACTCACGGGGACCTAGCAGGGGGTACCACCAGAAAATACTCAGAACACAAGGGACACAAGGGGAAAGAACAAAGGCAGACCCCCCCCCCACCAGGTAAATAAACAAAAAGAAAAAGAAAACCCCGCAAGAGGACAGCATACCCAGGCAGAACAGAGCCGGCCGCCATGATTGGTAAAGACAAGCTGCACAGTACCCTGTGCCCCACCAGTGCAAAAACTGCCCCTTACTCTAAGGCGAACAAGGGAGACAGAACACCCGAGCACACAAAGAGCGGCCGAAAACCAAGCAGTAAACGGCCAAGCAGGGGCAGAACTCAAGGAACTTGTGGATGGTGGCCCCAAGCCCCAAGGGCAGTACTTACAGGGCACCTAGGGAAGGGAACCCTAGGCGCATGCAGCCCGAGTACTAGAGACTCGCTCCCGGCTCACGCACCACCTAGAAGACAGACACCACACTCTAGGTACAGTGCTGAAACAACTACTGGAGCCGGAGCACATAACTGGTGCCTATAGCATCAGCCGAAGAACTGATGGGTGGATAGCCGGCGTGGGAGGTCTGGGGCTCCCTCTTCCCCCTCCCGGGGAGGAGGGAGCTGCGCAGACAGCAGCGCGGCGACGTGTGACGTCATACTAGTTTGCTTGTTGTCTATTGGGGAGTTCTATCCACTAGTTCGGCTTTAGGTAGCAATTTTAACCAAAATAGGGGTTTGTTTTGGAATGCTTACCTTTCTGGATGCTTGACCCGGTCGATGGCAGACATAGAATGCTTCCAACCACACGGGGGTTTCTATAGGCCATTGCTCCCCTTACCTCTCTGAGGGGGCCAGGTTCTGGCCATGGTCTCCCGTAGGCCCTAGAACTCCATACACATGACTGATGCCAAAGTCTGACATTAGCATATCATCCTGGTAAAAGCTCCGGGGAGCCGACGGGGCTCCCCCCAGAAATAGAGCATAAAAACATAATTACTCATTATTGTGTTATGTATTACTCACCAATGCTATAAAGGCACCAGCTGTATATCCACTTTGTGGACACTTCTTACTACTATTCTTTTTCTTTGTGCGTCGGACAAGTGCTTGCAATACCAGGTACAGGCAATACACAATATGTATTGTGTGCTCAGCTGACGGTTCTACAATTCCTTCAGAATGGATTTTTCATAAACTTTATACATATAGAGTTATAATTTTTGTTGGTCTAAATTTGCCGCATATTTCAAATGCCAGATTGACAATTTTTTTTACAGTGCTAGTTGTTTATAATTAGTTTACAATTGGTGATAGTTCATATTTTTTATTCTGATTTGAAGATCTGTAGTTTTCAATACAAAATTTTAAAATTAATTTGATTCTCTTGTTTTGCAAGTTACGTTGTGATCATTTAGACAAAGTTGAAGCATTTGTCTAGTTGATTACGCACAAAAAATTGGAAAGTGTTTGTGCAAGTTTAAAAAACTTGAGTTATGTCAAATCGTATATGTATGTTTTGCACGGTTTAAGGGTTAACAAGGTCAGTGGTAAACATAATTATAATAAATTTATTATAATAAAATACTGTTCATTAGTGTTTATTTAGTCCATCTTAATAACTGTACCTGTATTCTTCTTGCCCGGCTGTATCGAGGATGTCCAGGAGACACGTCTCCCCATCAATAACCACCTGCTTGCGATAAGAGTCTTCTATTGTTGGGTCGTATTCATCAACAAAGCTGAGGAATAAAATGTACAATTATAATTATAATTTTGTTAAAAAAAAATCGTTGAATGTAATGAAATGCCAATTCTAGGTGAGCCCCTGTGGCTCCCTTAAGCGGGAGTACACTATCACTGATAGTGTACCACTACTAGTTGGTTGTACCACTTTCACAAATTGACAGAGTTAACAGGCGGGATCTAAGAGCCAGAGCTCAACCCCCGCAAGCACAACTAAGCGAGTACTATTGAAGGGGTAACAGCCAGAGTCAACACCAGCATCAGAACAGGTTGATGACCGTGAGTGGTGTCCCAAGAAACAAAGGTGTAGTGTTTTTGAAAAATAGGCGAGATATAACGAATGTGCCAGGGAAAGTGAAATAATTGGATGAGAAAAAGTTGCCAAAGTGTAAACAGTGCAAAATACGAAATTAAAGATGGCTGCTGGCAAGGAGAAAAGAAAACAGAACTAGATATTGGTGGATTCAATGGGAACGGCATTAATATAAGCAGTCTACACAACAAGTTGGTAAAATTGGATATTATTGTGAACTATCATGTAGAAATAATCAGTGAATTGGACATTATTGTGAACTATCATGTAGAAATAATCAGTGAATTAAGCTCACAAGCTGAGGCAAGAAAGTAATGACCACTTGAGTAGCAAAGTATCAGATCTTGAAGGGATAGTGAAGGAATTATGCAAGGACAAGAATCAATGAGAAACTAAATGCAAAGCCAAGGAAGATGACAATAAACTCTTGAAAATAGCTTTTGAAGAAGTTAAACCAAACCTAAACATAAATGACTACAATAGGTTAGGTTAGGTAAGGAAATCCAATAGGAAAAACAGCTTTTGTCAGTACAGATGGAAAAAGTTACACAGGGTTACACTGTTCTCCAGTTACACTGGAGAACAGTGCAAGAAAGATATGCAACTCGCCTATGCACAGGTGGCCAGGGAGAATGAAAAAATAGAAGCAGCAGCAAAGGAAGCCAAACACTGCAGCAACCAGAATAAAACAAACATTTGGTTGGAAGTCAGAGAGAAACTGGCATCAAACCCGAAATTGGTGCTAAACAAAGTCGATCAAAGTCCCTATTAACACTTTCGCGCTCTCCGCAAAGGTCACTCAGCCAACCGAATGTGCGCGCTGCGTTTTTATCGCTTAAGCGTAAAAACAAAAATGTGTATACTCTTTTTACTCTCCTGACCTTAGTTCTCATGCTACGTATTTCATTTTGGCACCAACGTGTTTGCAATAAAATTCTCTAGAAGAACATTAGTAAAATAAGTCACGAAACATATAGGGATACCAGCACCAAATAAATAACTACGTAGATGACTCGCCGTGAGCGCCCATCAGCAACAAAATGTTTTTACTCTTGGGATTATAATCACCTCCACACTTGTTCTACAGCGTTAATTTTGGTATCAATGGACTCGCAATGAAATTCCCAACACGGTGATATGAATATAAGCGTTGAATATTGATGCAGCCCGCCCGCAAGAGTGTGGGAAGTGGTGAAATTGTTACCCGGTATCGGTGACGGGACGACGCACAGCGCTTTGAAAGTTTATACTTATTTCACTCTCATGACATTAATTTTCTATGTACGTCATTCATTTTCATGTCAATGTATTCGCAATAGAATGTTCTATGTGCCCATAGGTAAAAAATATCAACAAAGCGTAAGTTAGAATAGCGACAAATATAAAACAACGCTGGAACATATCAGTGAGCGTCAAACACACACGAAATATTTTTACTTTTGTTATGTTTGTCAAGATTATACTTGTTGCACACAGTTATTTTTGGTTGTATATTGATCGGAATAAAATTCCCTAAACAGACATATGCATATAATACATGATATGGGGGAAGAATTACCAGTATAAACGGCTAAAGTCACCCACCTGCAACCCGTTTGGGACAAAATACCATTTGATCGACGTTATCCACACCTTTCATGAACTTATTGTACCATGCAGCCTAGTGGTGAGAAAGAGAGCCTCATAGCGCGCAGTTTGAAACAAACCCAAAGTAAATCGGATAAAAATTGAATTTTATACAAATATTTTAAAAGTTGACATAACTTTATGTCCACTATGCGTTTACGTTAGACGAAACCGAACGCGCCGGCGCGTCCAGATAGCGCGAAAGTGTTAAATTTTTGTTGCAAAGAAAAGGAGATAACATCTAGGTCATAAAGAACCATAGAATAAGCTAAAGTAGTAGATTAAATTGTTGGGCTAGTGGAAAGTCTTACAACCAAAGAAAATGCCTGTGACTACAGAAGTATTGGCAAGTATGAAAAAGGGAAAGATCAACCCTTGAGGGTCGTTTAACTTCCTTGTTTCCACCATACCTAGGTATAGTGGCACCTTCGTTTACCAACCCAATCCGTTCCCAGAGACGCGTCACACACCAAAAATTTATATACCAAAATGTAAATTGAATTAATCTGTTCCACACCCCCAAAATATTAACTTAAAAATATATTTTATACCGAATACCACTCATTTTGGTGAATATATCTTACCTTTATTGAGGACTCTTGTTGGCATATGGAAGATAGTGAAGACGGGGGGGAATGGGGAGGGAGGAGAGGTGCTACTGTTTGGAAGGGGGAGTCCCCGTCCATTATAACATCAGGCAGTGATGACATTTCTGGGGTACACTCACTCACTTTTGATTCTGATCATGACTTTTGTTAGCCCAAAGCAAGAATATGCAGTGGTGTGTGGTGCCCATATCTTAAGAAGCACATCAACAAACTGGAAAAGGTGCAAAGACATGCTACTAAGTGGTTCCCAGAACTGAAGGGCAAGAGCTACGAGGAGAGGTTAGAGGCATTAAATATGCCAAAACTAGAAGACAGAAGAAAAAGAGGTGATATGATCACCTCTTTTTCCAGATGTACAAAATAGTAACAGGAATTGATAAAATTGATAGGGAAGATTTCCCGAGACCTGGAACTTCAAGAACAAGAGGTCACAGATTTAAACTAACAAAGATGCCGAAGAAATATAAGAAAATTCAGTTTCGTAAACAGAGTGGTAGACGGTTGGAACAAGTGAGAAGGTGGTGGAGGCCAAAACCGTCAGTAGTTTCAAAGCGGTATATGACAAAGAGTGCTGGGTAGACGGGACACCACGAGCATAGCTCTCATCCTGTAACTACACTTAGGTAATTACACTTGGTAAGTACTCGCACACACACACACACACGAACATGTTTGCTGATGATGCTAAGATAATAGGAAGGATAAGAAACTTAAATGATTGTCATGCCCTTCAAGATGACCTGGACAAAATAATTATATGGAGCAGCACTTGGCAAATGGAATCTAATGTTAATAAATGCTATGTTATGGAATGTGGAATAGGAGAACATAGACCCCACGCAACCCATATATTATGTGAGAAATCTTTAAAGAATTGTGATAAAGAGATCTAGGGGTGGTTTTAGATAGAAAACTATCACCTGAGGACCACATAAAGAATGTTGTGCGAGGAGCCTATGCTACGCTTTCTAAGTTCAGAATTACTTTTAAATACATGGATGGCGATATACTAAAGAAATTGTTCACGACTTTTGTTAAGCCAAAGCTAGAATATGCAGCGGTTGTGTGGTGCCCATATCTTAGGAAGCACATCAACAAACTGGAAAAGGTGCAAAGACATGCTACTAAGTATGGGTTATGCTCCCTAAGTTATAGGGAGCCGGTCGGCCGAGCGGACAGCACACTGGACTTGTGATCCTGTGGTCCCGGGTTCGATCCCAGGTGCCGGCGAGAAACATTGGGCAGAGTTTCTTTCACCCTGTGCCCCTGTTACCTAGCAGTAAAATAGGTACCTGGGTGTTAAGTCAGCTGTCACGGGCTGCTTCCTGGGGGTGGAGGCCTGGTCGAGGACCGGGCCGCGGGGACACTAAAGCCCCGAAATCATCTCAAGATAACTCAAGTCATCTCAAGATAAGTGGCTCCCAGAACTGAAGGGCAAGAGCTATGAGGAGAGGTTAGAGGCATTAAATATGCCAAAACTAGAAGACAGAAGAAAAAGAGGCGATATGATCTCTACGTACAAAATAGTAACAGGAATTGATAAAATCGATAGGTAAGATTTCCCGAGACCTGGAACTTTAAGGGATGTCAGGTTGGCATCTGGGTCCAAAAATGCAAAAATGAAAACTCGTTCGATTTCAATCAAACTTTTTTGACAAGCTCAATATGAAAAGTGTTTCATCTGGTCCAAGTTTCAGCATCGTAGCATAAATAGGAAGGGAGAAAAAAAATATTGAAGTAGTTGTGAAAATTATGCCAAAATGGTCAAAATCGATTATCAATCAAAAGTGTCAACTGAAATCATAGCTACGACTCTTTGCTATCACAATAGCATATATTAAACAAATATTATAATTAGCTTAATTGGAAAAAAAATTTAAGAAAAAAAAAAAAGTATTTTTTTCTTTTTTCTTTTTCAATAGTATTTTTTTTTTTTCATTTTTTTTCGGGCGATTTGCATCAAATTTACACACCTGACTGTACGTAAGCCTATCTGTGAGGATGCCAATTATGGAGAAAATTGGTTGATGTCAACCTCAGCCACAGATTTTAGAACCTTAGACTTAATTCATTTCTGTTTTTTTTTTCAATTGACACAAACGTTTACAAAACTGATTCCTTTTTTATTCAATTTACATGAAACTTACACAGTATATGTGGAGGGCATGTCTCTACATTGTGGGGCTTTCATTTTTCTCTAAGTTCATTTATTGATTTTATAATAGCAATAAACATGCCATATTTGCAAAAATTTTTGGGGGAACTTTGAACATTCGTATTAGGAAAACTAAAGATGTTTTGGAAATTCTAAAGCCCCAAATCCTTTATTATATGCTAATGTGTCAGAAAAGTGTCACAGAATAATTATATCTGAAACGTGTGTTCTGAAGTGTGGACTTGAAAATGTGTAAAAAACGTTGAAAAAAAAAAAACTCCCTTTCTATTTACG